CATATCAACGTTTAGTCTCCCGGGAAATAACCCTCCTTGACGCCGGAAAACAGGAACTGATTTCTCACCAGCAAATTAACACATGATGGCGATAGGCAGTCGCTGACGAGGAAGGGAAATCTTCGCAATCCACTTCTTGGTCTGGATGGTCCCCATAAGATCTCTATCCACTGTGGGACACGGTTGGTCCATGCGTCTAAAGGGCCGCAATTCGTTGTGAAGAAACCTATGATTGTGGGTTCGAACTCCGGTTCACCCTAATTTTGTTTCAGTACCATAATTATACCCGTGCTTGTGGGTTTCATCAAAGCGGTAAACGTCCCAGGCCTGAACCATTCCTAGCTTTCTTCTCACATCGAAAGTGATATAACATGAATACTGTTCAAAGCAGCGTTAAACACAATTCATTCACTCACTAAACTTACAGGAAAACTTGATTTTGCATCACAGAAGAAAGAAAGAAGCTCGCGCTCCCATCCCATCCCATCTCAAGATATCTTTGATTCTGACAAACCAAAAAACATGATCAGGGTGAATCTGGGATTCTGGACACATTCGCCGCCATACCATCGTGTCTTGTCCGGTGAGAGTTACATCTAAAAATTGCCGTCCAATTAAATTACCTTCATGTGCGAGGGAAATTCTGATAATTGGAGATGGTGGAGTCATTTCCGAAACGAAGCTATGGTGGCGAATGGTTCCAAGCAACCTCTGCATCTCCAGGCCTCGCATTTCGGTAAACCTACACTAACCGAAATGCGAACCCTGGAGACATAGAGGATGGGTTCCATGGTATTCAAAATAAATTAGCATAGGATAATCGAGGACAGAGACCATATACCGGTATATGGTCTCTGTCGAGGATGATTGTGTACATGATATGAAAGAATGCCTGTGTGTCAGCGTTATGCGAGTTGATAGTGAGTGAGTTGGGTTTAACGTCGCTTTTAACAGTATTCAAGTCATATCACGGGGTGTCAGCTTAATGTGGGAGGAAAGCCCGAAGTGATGCAGGTCTCAGACGTTTACCACTTCGGTGAAACCCACGAGCACGGGTATGGTGCTGACAAACCTAGAAACATAATCGGGGCAAACCGGGATTCGAAACCAAAATCAAAGGTTTCTGGTGTGCCTTAGAGACGCAACTCTGCACAGCGATTCGCGGCGCCGTAGACGACTGGGCCACCCGTTACCCCGCGAGTTGATAGCCCAAGTGACACAGGCCATGGATGTATTTCGGTCTTAATACTTGATGCAGCCAATCTAGAGATGGGATGGTTGACTGCATGTCATTGTATCCCAGTTGTGTGGATCGAGGCTCATGATGTAATGGTTGACTCGAATATTCACAGACTTCCGTCATTTGGCTGGAATATTGCGGAGTGTGGTGTTAAATAACCAACAAAACAGTCAAAGAGAGCCCAAACAACGGTATCCCATGTACAACAATATATACCTTCACTTCCCAATATTCAATTCAACCTTTATGGCATACCGTATGCCTTAGTCTAAGCATTTCGCTCATATGCGTTTCAGTGATTTAGATGACAGATGGAAAGTTTCTTTTTAACTGTCTTCAACAAAACGTCATATCCTTGGTTGATAGGAAAGTATTAAGTCAAGGATAAAGCTAGTGGTTGGGTTCAACATGGCTTAGCTTCCGTCATATCACGGCATGTCAGCTTTATGTTGGAGAAAATATCACCAGGAGCAGATTTTAGACACTTACCAGTTAACTACACGATCATTGCTGGTGCTGACAGTGCAAAGGTAATGATCGGAGCGAATATGACTCAAGGGTATAACATCACAGTGCTCATTAAATGTCACTTCAAAACACTCTGTAAATAATTGAGGTTAAGAGACTTGAGTCTTGGGTCACATCGATCCTAACAAAAGAGTGTGTTGTGATGATCAGCAGTTATGTGATGCACCATAACTATACAACGATAAGGACATTGAGGTTTTGGCCCGTGAAGATCTAGAATAGGTCTTCAGCAACCCATGCTTGCCATAAAAGGCGACTATGCTTCTAGTAAGAGGCGACTAACGGGATCGGGTGGTCAGGCTGGCTAATTTGGTTGATGCATGTCATCGATCCCAAATGCGTGGATTGATGCGCATGATATCAATCACTGGATTGCCTGGTCCAGACTCGAATATTTACAGACCGCCATCATATAGATGGAATATTGCTGCGTGCGGCGTTAAACAACAAACCAACAAACATTGAGGTTTTAAAATGGGAATTTTATGAAATGCACTCAACCAACTCTGCGAGTCTCAACACAAACTCCATTATGTCTCATTCTACAACCAGCATAGGTTGCTGGGGCACCCAGAATCCCATGGGTTTTCAATTTAGTGGCATTTTAGGACTAGCAATGGGGTGGGGTGACTCTTTGGCAAATCATACAAAGTATTATTGTAAGTTTAACACCTTTTAAACAATGGAGCAACTTTATCAATATATATCAATTGATATATCCAAATGAAATAAAAGATTCTGCTTATCCGATTTCCACACATAAATTGATAAAGGATGCAATTAATCTACATCATGACTCCTGGGTGACATACAAAGGTATGACCGTTGGAACCAAGACATTCTGGTCAGAAATAACTTAGACTGTTCAGTTTGTCAATGGTTAAATTTCTTTCAATCGAACAGTGAATTCCCCATCTTAAATAAGTTAAGTTTCTGTCACAGGATGTGCAAAATATGATGGCAATGACAAGGGTTGTATTACAGACAAGTCTGTGGTATTAAAGCGATTTCACAGGATGCGTGCAATGAATCAAGTCTGGGTCAGGAAATTAGTGTTGACATCAAAGATCCATGCTGTCACTATCAAGACAGCTGTTTGCCAGGTACACAATGTAACCACTCAACCACATTAATGGGATACTTGAACCTATTCTTACAGGGAATCCCCACAGGAACTACAGACACAATCTTCATTACAAAACACCATAACCTGTTGCTTCTCAGGATATGATGTACAGGATATTAGGGCTGTTGCGATTCACTTGCATATTCGGTGAATTGAACTGTATCCATTTATGAACTGAATTCATTATTTGTGGCCACTAGAATTGAATTGTTGCTGGTTGCTGTTTAATGCCACACTCAGCAGTATTCCAGCTATATGACGGTGGTCTGTAAATATTCGAGTCTGGTCCAGGCAATACAGTGATTGATATCAAGAGCATCGATCCACGCATTTGGGATGAAAGACATGCATCAAACAAATCAGCCAGCCTGACCAACCGATCCTGTTAGTTGCCTCTTACAAGCATAGTTGCCTTTTACGGCAAGCATGGGTTGCTGAAGACCTACTCTACCCCGGATCTTCACAGGTCCACTAGAATTGAATATTTATGGATATGCAATCATGTGCACCTAAAAGTATACATAAGAACATATATGCATAGATTTCTTCAACGACAACACTCTTATAACATTTAATTTGAAAGTATGGTGGTCACTGGTCATTGTCGCAATTGAGCAGATACTAGTACCTGGATAAGTGCAGCATATAAATGTATAATATATGAATAAATTAACAAACCACGTCAAATAATTTATGTTGTTATTGTTTCACTGAATATAACAAATAATACATCAATTGCTGACTTGTTATTGTATTCGTGAATTAATATTCGTATTCGTTACTCTGTATTCGTGATACAAATCGTATTTGCCTCCTAGTGTATTCGTTGCAGCCCTACAGGATATATGGTTTTCACAACCAAGTGATGCTTTCAACAAAAACTCCATCACACACAAATTTTTATACATATTTAATACAGAGAAAACCTCTGGATTTTTTCACTTGGGATTGGTATAATTCGGACAAAATACAAAAAATAATGTAATGACCAAAACAACATCAAAGGTTCAATTCTTAGGTCACTCTTAAATTTAAATCAGACAAAAATAAATATGAAATATTCAACTTAATCAAAGCATGTTTGAAGTAAGTTTCTTAGTTTAATGAAATTCTAACTCTTGAATCTGCTTCAGTCATGATTCCGTACTTCTATTTCCGTTTCAATCAATCAACAGTGATTTTAATTACATGACATAACAGGTTCAAACTTTAAAAATAGAAAATTGGGATATTAATAACCAAGAATAAAACATAATCAAAGAAACACAAATCTGTTTTTGTCAACAGAGAAAACCTCATTAGCTGTATTACTTGCATCATAAGAAATACAAACCAAGGAGGCCATCTCTTTACATCTTGAAGGATTGCTGTGACCAGCTTCATTTCATAAGTGAACCAATCCTTTTAAGAGAGCTATTTCTGTGAGATTATAGGGATGCTTCTATGGCATCTGTGTGAGGTTATCACTTGTTTACCAAGTGTGGTGAGCTCACATAGGAATATTGTGCAAAGTGGCTCTCTGCAATTCACTGAATGACAAAACAAACTCCAATCATACAAAATTCTCTTCGGCAATATCTCATTACTTATGATTTATTGACTCATAGCCAATAGCTATAAATGGAATTATAGAACATAAACAAGTAAAAACAGCATCAAACGTTGTTCATGTTCAGGAGAAACATTAACATTTTAGCGAAGCAGGAATCGTTTGTAAGAAATCAACTGAGTCAGCTGGGATATTTGGCAATAATTTTTATTTCAGTTATATAACAGCATGTCTGCATATTTGGATGAGAGCTTCCTGTTTGTTGTTCAACTGCACTCAGCCATATTCCAGTCTGGATCACAATAATAACCGAGTCTAGACCAGACAATCCAGTGATTGTGACATCATGCACATTGAGTGAGTGAGTGAGTTCGGTTTAACGTCGCTTTTAACATTATTCCAGTTATATCACGGCGTGTCAGCTTAATGTGGGAGGAAAGCCCGAATTGATGCGAGCCGTTTACCACTTTGGTGAAACTCACAAGCACGGGTATGGTGCTGACAAACCTAGAAACATAATTAGGGTGAACCGGGATTCGAACCCACAATCATGGGTTTTTGACGTGCCCAAGGGACGCAACTCTGCACAGCGAATTGCGGCACCTTAGACGACTGGGCCACCCGTGCCCCCATGCACATTGATCCACACAAATGGGTTACAATGACATGCTATCAACCACATCACCAAGACTGACGGCCCTATTCATTTAGTCACCTCTTACAACAAGCGTACGTTGCTGCTGACCTATATTCTTGTCAGGAATCACCAAGACAGGATACAGACATTTACCATATGGTGAAACCAGGGAGCACAGCTATGGTGCTGACATGCCGTGTATCATATTATCAATAACAGTGAATCTAAAATTTCAAGTTAAGTGTATCTGCACTACTGAGGGAAGCAACTATTTACTGTTGTTAGGCTGACATCACTGGGCACGGTTTCATCTGGCAACAAAACCTCACAAATTATGTCATTATGCATTGTGATGTGTTTGTAAACTTCATGGTGTTGGATTCTAAAGGTAGACCCAAATTGGTTCCCTCAAAAATGGCCAGTGCACTGAATATACACGAACAGGGAAACTTAGAAATGAGCACTGTCGTAATTTGAAATATGACAGGCAAAATACATAATAACCCTAAACATGTGTCATAATTCAAAAAGCAGTCTGGATGTGATGGTTCCTCAAGAGAGTGTTTTTTGATACATTGAGATTCTGGAGACCGACACTATAGCAGCAGTAACATTTGTTTGTGGCCAACCTCCAACAAGTCAACACTAAATATCTTCATTTACAAAATTGCAGACTCTAAATTAAACCAAAACTCAAAACATAATGTTCAAAATCATAATACCTTTAAATTTTGATTTACTTAAAATACTTAATGAAACAATTTCAAAACATTTTTTGTCAAATACACTTATCCATGTCATTTGATTTAGAAAATCTCCAAAACAAACCAAAGTATTATTTCAGGAGAATTCCCCCTTCCTTAGAAAGAATCAAGAAAACAGAAAAAATTGTCTTACAATATTGCAGATAAACTAAAGGTATCCATTGAAATTTCTTAGGATTTCGAATACTAACCTCTCCCAATCCCTTCTCCCAGAAATGTGAGATGTCCTGATTAGTATATTTATGGTACATAAGCCAATCAGTGACACACACAATCCTTGATTATTATCTGTCAGTGTCAGGAGACTCTGTAGGGCTACTGGACTTACTCCTCCTCAAGTAAGCCAGCAAACTTTCAGCTTGGGGGCTAAGAGATTGCGAGGGCTGAGATTCATCATTACTGTTGTGGTCAGTTTGACAGCTGTTGCTAAGATGATCATAAGACTGATCCATGTCATCGATGTTGTTTGAGGCGATAGTGTCAGGCTTGTCCTGTTCTCGAGTATTCCGTCTGTGTGCCTGGCAGGTGGCGCTGTTGTATAGTTTGACGTCCAGGCGGGGGACTGAGAGGGCAGGGTTGGGCGTGGTCATCAGGCTGCAGACGGTGATGTACAGGGGGAATTTGAAGCCGTTCTCCAAGTTCAACAATACCACTGACTGCAAGGAGAAAGTATGTCAACATGGCAAAAGCCCTATGTTTTCTATTCAACACGGTCCTCTTGCACAAAGTGATCTTAGTGCTACAATGACCAGAACTTTAACATAGTCGAAGCACTAAGGTTGCTTTGCATAATTGGACCCTGATTATGCAGAGTGAAAACTTGTGTGATGAACCCCTAAGATATGTGCACACAGTTAAAATGCAAGCCTGACAAGACCAGCCCAAGGAATATGGCAATTACTGCAGCATTATTAGAACACTTTTTGAAAGAAATGAATTTACCGTATTCGACGTAATAAGCACCCACGGTGATATTTGCTAATACATTGGCTAGTGAACAATCCCAATTAGCAACCCTTCCAATTGATCAATGTACACAAGACCTATTTATTTGTGTCTAATACGCAGTCGTGTGTTATATGCACCCATAATTATGGGCAATTAAATTCTGGAAAAATATATCTGTCGTATAAACATTTCAGGCTGTCAGCATAAACCACGAAATTTAGGATTTTTCAACTGTTTTTTTCCACCAAAATTATATTCTAATAAAAGCCCCCAATTTCTAATTTTGAGAGCGATGTGGGTGCTTATTAGGTCAATACGGTAGTTATTTTTCCACCCAGCATGTTTCATCCCCCCAAAATTATAAAGGTTTGGTTTCCACAAGACAAAAAGCTTATTTTAATGCCATTTGGTCTTGCCTACAGACATCTTTGTCAAATACTGGGAATAAGATCTGAGAGTACCATTCATTTGACATACTTGATTTGTGTTAATTCAGTTGTTATACTTATTGTGTAACTTACTTTACATAGATCTCATATGCCAATAACCATAAACTGTCTATAACAGATAAACCTGTCTGTAAACAAGATATGTTGAATTTTAATTGAGAAAAAACTAAAACTTAAAAATATATATATTAAAATGATTTGAGGTATGTTTCTATATATTTGCAAACTTGAACAACCAGATGTCATTATTGCACGACATGACAAGGCAAGTTTTGTTTGTTTCTTTTTTGTTTGTTTCACGCCGCACTGCGTAATATTCCTGCAATATGATGACAGCCTGTAAATAAATGAGTCTGGACCAGACAACCCAGTGATCGATATTGTGAAAACAAACCACACTGTTGGGGTATGATGACATGCCATCAACCAAGTCACAAGCCTGACCCCTGGACATATTCACCTCCAAGGACCAGTATAGGGTGCTTGGGACCAATGCTCCCCCGGACATGTGGGGACAATACAAGTAACTCGTAACCAACACACAGACAGCTTTGAAATTTGCACAATATATGTCTTATCAGGCCTCAAAGTTTAAATTTTTACCAAGTAGCCATATGGCGACAAGTATATTTTCCACGTAGCCAGTGGTAAAATCAAAAAGTCAAGACAAAATTGTAGGTGGCCAAAAGCATTTGAAATTATCTTTTATCAAATAACTATTATAATATGTGGAAGTCATAGCACTAGTCTTGGAATTGTAAAACCTATTATTGAAAAATGCAACCCAATATTTATGTCTGCATGCTTCAAGTGCAGGTAAAAAACAATTCTAAACGACCCGTGAAGATTCCGGGGTAGAATAGGTCTTCAGCAACCCATACTTGCCGTAAAAGGCGACTATGCTTGTCGTAAAAGGCGACTAACGGGATCAGGTGGTCAGGCTCTCTGACTTGGTTGATACATGTCATCAATCCCAATTACGTGGATTGATGCTCATGATGTCAATCACTGGATTGTCTGGTCCAGACTCGATTATGTTACAGATCGCCGTCATATAGCTGCAATATTGCTGAGTGCGGCGTTAAACAACAAACAAACAAACAAAACAATTCTAAATACTACATCACTAATCCCTGTGTTATTTGTCATACTTTCTTGGTCTTGATGGATCAAACTGTGTATGCTTCAAAATTATGTACACATGCTGCTATTATGCTTACAGCAATGCGTCATTAACTAATGTTGACACTGGCAGCAGACCAGCCTATGTTTCAACTTTGAATTTATGGGACCAGGGTGCAACCTGGTTTTGTCATGTGCAACTTGGTTTTTATGTCAACATGCACCTGGTGCAAGTCAAATCAAGTTCCTAAAATCGAGCCCTGGTTTGAATTCAGCATGCCTTGCTTAAAAGGTTCATGTCATGGTCAATTCATTAAGTAGAAAAAACTACAATGGTAAGCTGTGGTATTTATTGTCAAATCAGATCATCTCTATTTTAGTTTGTGTGTGTTTTCAATATCCTAAATCTCACAACCACACTTTAGAAAAAGGTTTTTATATTGACACATTCACCTATTGATTATTTTGCATTTTGAGTTTCATAAAAAGAATCCATGCTGTGTTCTCTCGTGAGGATATCTGAAGAGGGAAAGTGACTGTCAACTGCTCTACTTTATCCACCTTTAACATAAGCCCTTCACTTTTTCCGTCGTTAAATCTCTCAACAATGATACATCAGTTTTTATTTGTAACTCATATATTTAAAAACATAATATAAGAATTACTGTTACTTGAGATTGTACAATGATATGTTAGCAATACCCAACGGTTAATTCAGCTTGTTAATGACAACAGATTACTGGATGTGTGAAAAGTTAATCCTGATTATTTTGGGGGTTATTTACATAAGTTAATCCTTTCTCCCAGAATGTCTGTGTGGAATCTGCAGTTAAGAAATCAGGCTGAGACAAATATTACTTGATGATAAATGCACATAATTTTGGTCCAGTATTGACAGATCTGGATAAGCCAAAGTCTGGTTGCAGCAGATTCCACTCAACAACATCATGACATCAACACAGGGCAACACATGATAGGATTGTCCTTGGCATCAATCGATCATATCACTGGGTGTCAAGGAAACACAATGTTGATGGATAGGACATTGGGAAACACTATAGCTAATACCCTACAGACAAGCAGCTCACACATGCATGGTCATCCTGGTTTTCTTTCTAACTGCCGCTATCAGAATGTCTATCTGGTATAATAACAAACATGTACAGTCCATGCAAAGGACAGTTATGTTGTGGATGTAAGACAGGTGTTCATATTATTCCATTGTATTAATGGAATGACTCATGCCATTGAAGTTATTACATCTATCACTGACTTTGAATTTTGAATTAGGAGGTGACAAATCCAAACTATATCTACTGGCCACAAAACCTGTGGCAATTCTGGGTAAGAACACAGGTCTCCACAAAGCTATGCTTGTAAGAGGGGACTAAATGGATCAGGTTGTCAGGTTTGATGACTTGGGTGATGCATATCTTTGATCCTAATTGCATGATTCAATGCTCATGTTGTCAATCACCGGATTGTCTGGTCCAGACTCGATATTTACAGACCAGCTTCATGTAGTTGGAATATGTACTTGAAAATTCTCTTGTCCTCAGATATATTTTACTTGTCCACTAAAACTATTTAAGATTTATATAGTGAGATGAGTGAGTGAGTTGGGTTTTACCTCGCTTGTAGCAATATTCTAGAAATATCACAGCTGGGGACACCATTGAACACATATATTAGAAAATACATGAAATTGCAACGTTAAATCCACTTGCCACCATTCAAGTACGACAAGCAAATTTGGTTGTCAACAAATTCTACATGCCACAAGCGTCTGGAAAACCAATTTGCCCACCTGTGTTTGGAGGCATAGTCCTCAGTACCTCCTAAATGAGGATTCAATGGCCAGTTTGACATTAACATTCCTCTGTCATTGTACCAACATAGCATGGATCAATGCATATAGATTGACAGTCGATAAACTGTTGCTTTTTCTGGTTGAGAGATATCTGCCTACAGGCTGCAGTGATATAGCTGGACAATATTGTTGTATTGCTGCCTGTGGCTTGAAACAGGATTCAATCAAAAGAAGCCATCTCCCTGGTTGCTATTATTCCAAATTATGGTTTGTCTGTAAAATATCTAGTCTGGACCAGACAATCCAGTGCTTGACATCATGCTCATCAATCTACGCAATTAGGATCTGATGACATGCATCAACCAAGTCAATGAGCCTGCCCACCCGATCCCGTTAGTCGCCTCTTATGAAAATGAATGTTTAGTCAATTGTTATGACCCAACTAAAGACTATGTGAAACACTTTTTACTTTTGTAAGTTAAATTGTATAAATACAATGCACTACATTAGCCGACTACGATATTATATGCAAAATATGTATTCTGTAATAGATCCGGTGTTGTTTTAAGAAAATGTATGGGTATATGTGGGAAAAATAAAAAATAAAAGAATTATTACACATTTCCTATTTGTTCAAAAAATTATTGGAATATTTTGCCATATATACAGTATTTATGAGGCCAGTCAATGCATTGTACATATGTGCACAATAGGCAGTATAAAAAACAACCAACAAAATAGCAAGTGAAGCAAACCTCATTTTTGTCGAGACTGATCTTCTTGATGCCGGTGGACTTGGTGGCCATGACACAACCATGTTCGTTGATGTTGGAAGCTGTGAGTCTGTAACCATGGTAACATGTCATGAGACCTATTCCTTCACAAAACTATCAGTACCATCAAATAAAGCTTCTTTTGAACTGTAACGTTTCAGTAATTCTGAAAAACGAATTGGTTCAACCAATTTAACAAGTGTGTAGCAACAACACACAGTTATACATGGTCAGAAGTGGCTGAATGGTCCATGGCATCTTAATTCGCAGGGTAGAGTTGAATCCTTTAGTTTGTTTGTTTGTTTGTTGTTTAACGCAACACTCAGCAATATTCCAGCAACACTGCCTGTAAATAATCGAGCTTGCACCAGGCAACCCAGTGACTGATATTGTGAACAATCCATACTGTTAAGGTACGATGACACACCATCAATCAAGTCACTGAGCCTGACCATCTGATCTATGTGGTCGACCAACATAGGTTGCTGGGGACAAACTCTAACCTGGAATCCAGATGGGGGGATTTGGGTTATGAATCCAAGATTCCCCTGATAATGATTTTGGTGTGTCAACACTATACATGTGCTCATAGGTTTCACCCAAGTGGTGCATTACTCTCAGCTTTCCTCCCACATTATACTGGCATGTTGATTGGTTGGTTTGTTGTTTGAGGCCTCACTCAGCAATATTCCAGCTATATGACCGCGGTCTGTAAATAAGAGTCTGGACCAGACAAACCAGTGATTAAAATCATGAGCATCGATCCATGCAATTGAGATACGATGACATGCATCAACCAAGTCAGCGAGCCTGACCACCCGATCCCGTTAGTTGCCTCTTACGACAAGCATAGTCACCTTAAATGGCAAGCATGGCTTTCTGAAGAGCTATTCTATCCCGGATCTTCACAGGTCCTAGCATGTTGGATATGACTGAATGATGCTGTTCACAGCATCATTAACCAAACCCAAAATAACTCTTCTACAATCATGACTATATTAACAAGAGTTTGCCACTAACGTGGCTATATCCCCACCCCTGTTGCAGAATTTATGACATAATTAAATCTAAACAAACCCTAACCTTTTTTAACTGAGGTGGAACTTGTCAAAGAAATTGTAAAAAAAGAAGAGTTTGGAACCTAAGTCCATTTTGTTGCCATGAAATCATAAAAAATAAACATTTCTAAAATTTCTAAATAGCAAAAGGCACCAGTTCACGATGTCCCTGACAAACCTGCAAAGTTTCATGAAAAAATATTGAACGGTTTATGAGTTATGCTCCGGAAACGAACCCTACCCTCAAAGAACCTAAGTCCATCTTGTTGCCATGGAAATGTAAAAAATAAAAATTTCTAAAATTTCTAAATAGCAAAAGAAACCGAGTTCAGCATGTACTTGACAAAGTCTGATGAAAAAATATTGAATGGTTTCTGAGTTATGCTCCGGAAACGAAACATGACGGACGAACATACGGACGGACGGAGCCCGTTTCTTTATCCCTCGCCAACTTTGAAGGACAGGGGATAAAAATACTGGAAAATCTCAGGAAACAAAGTAAGCATTAGTTTCCAAGAGAAGTATTGTGCTGACAATGAAACACTCATAAAATCATCACCAAACTGTGTGATAAATATCTTAATTCGAACCAAGCTGTATCTGTGTTGCATCATCTTAATAATGTATAGAGATGGATTCTTGTTATTATCTGTGAGAACCACATTTTAGCCAGTTGTGCATTTTAGATTAGGTCATATGTATTTTTCCTCAGAGCTGGGTACCAAACACCATGTGCGGGGTTGACAGACCCGGGGTAGTTATAGAAACTCACCTGATGTACAGGTATGTGCGGGGTTGACAGACCCGGGGTAGTTATAGAAACTCACCTGATGTACAGGTACGTGCGGGGTTGACAGACCCGGGATGGTTATAGAAACCCACCTGATGTACAGGTATGTGCGGGGTTGACAGACCCGGGGTAGTTATAGAAACCCATTGATGTACAGGTATGTGCGGGGTTGACAGACCCGGGATAGTTATAGAAACCCATTGATGTACAGGTATGCGGGGTTGACAGACCCAGGGTGGTTATAGAAACCCATTGATGTACAGGTATGTGCGGGGTTGACAGACCCGGGGTAGTTATAGAAACCCATTGATGTACAGGTATGCGGGGTTGACAGACCGGGGGTGGTTATAGAAACCCATTGATGTACAGGTATGTGCAGGGTTGACAGACCCGGGGTAGTTATAGAAACCCACCTGATGTACAGGTACGTGCAGGGTTGACAGACCCGGGGTAGTTATAGAAACCCACCTGATGTACACCTGGGTGCCGTTGTACAAAGTGATCTTAGCGTTAAGGTGATCGTAACTCCCATACCTTAACATGGACTTACGACAGTCATAGCGCTATGGATGTTTTGAACAATGTCACCCTAGTTCAGTTATAGAGACCCACCTGATGTACATTGACCTATGTGGCTGCAGGCTGACAGACCCGGGGTAGTTGAGGCTGGAGGAGTTGTTTCTCATCAAGGAAATTAATCTGTAATAGTCACATGAAAGTACTTGTAGTGGTTTGCTCGAGCAATAAGGCAATGTTGGATTCATGCATCTGGGAGTGAGTGACTCTGATGCTGCTTTTCACAGTATATCAGTTATATAACGGTACGTCAGCTTAACATCTGTGGAAAGCCAAACGTGATGCATGTCTTAGATATTTTCCACTTGTGTGAAACCCATTACGGGTATGGAACTGACATGCCAATGGACAGGAATCAGGGCAAATCCAGGATTCTTACCCATGATAATCATATCCTGGCATGTCTAAGGGATGCAACTCTGCATCACTGTTGACGACTGAATCACTACCATCTCAGTCAGGAAACACTCCCTTTGACATCTGAAGTTGTTTTTGTTTAACGCTGCATTCAGCAATATTCCAGCTACATGATGTTGAACCAGACAATCCACAGAGTGATATTATTTGCAACATCCTGTCATAGGGTTACAATGACATGCAATCAACCAAGTCACCTCTTATGACCTGATCCATTTAGTAACCTCTGTTGACAAGCATAGGTTTATGGGGACCAATTCTAACCTGTATTTCCCAAAGGCTGCATGACATTTGGAATTTGTTTCGTATTAAAGAAAACTAGTAACTAAATAAACAGTTGTGTACTATCAATCTGGGAAAGGGCCTCCCTACATAAACAAGCATACAAACTCCTACTGCCGCCATGACCATAACATGAGATGCACAGTAAAGCAGTGGTCAAGCAAAGGGAAGTAACTGCATGCTTTATTGGATCACATTGTTTTTAAGTATTATGATTTTTATTTAAAATGGAAAAAAAACTAAACTTGCAGCAGACTTTAAGAAGATGCGGGCGGTGTCTGAGAACCATGACTATTATGTTTTTTAGCCTTACAGTTTAATGTTATCACAAGGTCTAATTGATTGGTACTCAATAGCATGAAGAACACAAAACTGGCCAAGCTGAAGCTGAGTCTGTTCATTTCTGATGGTCAGTTCCCCACTTCAGTCAACTGTGGACAACTAGTGGTACTGTGAGGTATTCTCTACCACTGTGGGCTCCCCAGGGTACAGTTTCACATGCCCCATCTGCTAGGGATGTCCTGGTAGTATCAACACATCATGTTGGCAGATCATGACACTACTGACCTGCTTTTATAGGTGATAAGACCGTCAATACCATAGCTGTAGCCAACCCATCGCCAGCAAAACTGCAAAACATGAGTTAGTTCAGATTATAAGCATGCTAAATTACAGTTCAGATACTGTGATCCTATTCAAGACGACATTGTGTGTTTACATACATTTAAATATTTTAACCTCAAGGATTGGGGACCATCTGATATTCAGGTGTTGGGTGGGATGTGGGTTCTGAGATTTTTGTTAGAGACATGTTATTGTTTTGCAACTGCTTCAATACAAGAGAATTCTTTTCTCTCAGGCAAGATTATTTCTCTCCAATACTGTCTGGAAATATTGAAAAAGACAATCCCAGCACACCCCTCCCCACCTCACACCCCTCCACACCTCACCAAACGGTCTGTCCCTTTACATCTATCAATAAACCATGAACACAAGTAGTTTCAAATGCTTGTTTATTGACTCTCTCAAAGCTGTATTGTTTAAGCCCCTGTTAGTCATGTTAACTACCTGAATGGTGTCTTGTATCAGACTCAGCAATATTTACATTAAACTGCACAACACTGATCAGGTGATATTGGGCTTAGAGAAGATACATCTTTGCCACAATACAAGCATCAGTGTCCAATCAGTACACTGTATCACAACACTCCCTATGCATTCAGAGAAATATTGAACTGTTAACTTGATGCAGAAAGTACCTCACCTCTTCATTGGATGGCAGCACCCGCCCACATCTCATGGCTCTGGCCAGAAACACCTGCTCCTCCACATCCTGGGGCCTGCATCAGCAGTCAGTGTTAAACATGTACCCCACATCCTCTCTGACAGACTCAGAGCATATCTTAAATAAACCATTCACTCCCATTTCTCTCTCATCCCTTTCTCTGCTGTAGCAGCCTATACTCATACATAGGTTTGTGCATAAAACTATTTTGCACTATTTGTGCAAGGAAATAAAATTTTACAAACAAACAGAGGTGGTGAAATGGGGTTTAAGGTCGCATCCAAGATTATTGCACTTATACAGCGACGTGTATGAACATGTGTGTGTGTGTGTGTAGCCGCTTGATCCAGGCTGAAGCCGATTTATAGTGCTGAGATACCATGCCGCAGTTTAACATGAATACCCCACTCAGACACCGTATACTGACATCGAGCCGACCAGTCCTTGTTTTAGTCCCTTAATGCCGAGCACCAGACACAGTAACAACAAGCACAATCTTTTAACATTTTTTCGACGCGGCCGGGGATTGAACCCTGGACCTTCCGCACTCCAGATGGACGTTCTACCACTAGACCACGGAGGCAGTCACAATTTAACAGAATAAATATGCAGCCTAGATGTCACACTGCCATGATAACATGTGTCATGTACACAGCCCTACTCACCCCTTGTCAAGCCCTTGTTCCACATGAAGCAGCTGATGCCACTGAAACCTATATATTGAAGTCAGCCAGGCTGGAAATAAAATATTACCATACTGTTAATATTAAAAAATATAGGATAGCTACGAGATAAACAACAAAGAACAATGAAGAACGAAGAGTGGTTTATTTCACGACGTCATTTCTGGAGATTTGAACATGCGCTCACAACATAATGCCTGCAACGTGAATTGGACGACATTGTTTTGAGAGGGAAGTGTCTAGTGAGTTGTTGACTATAGATGTTCCTGGACAGCGTAGACAAACGCAATGGCAAAATGATGGCAACCATAAGTGGGTGAGATATGACAATTGGCAATGGGAGAAAAGTACAGATAATTGACGTGAAAATTGTGAGAATATAAGGAAATATCAACCTTCCCTTCTCCGTTCATAAAATGGACTTTTCCGACATTGCCGATGTTCGATTCTATGCAGGGAGTCATTATTATTTAAATACGGGTAAATATTTTTCAAGCTTGTACATTTTATTAACATCCTTGAAGAGGCTGTACTGATATTTTACATAAGAATTATTTGACTCGTGGTCATTTAATATTGTACAATAAAACACTGCAGAGAGAATAAACCAATCAGGGTTGCACCCCTTATTGTCCAACAAACAGCTAAACTGTACGTAATACCGTACTTATATCTCATATAAGAAATAAACAACTCGTGGTCGTTTTTTATTGTACAATAGATTAATGCAGGGAGAATAAATCACTCATGGCTGCACCCCTCATGATTTATTCTCCCTGCAGTGTTTTATTGTACAAAAAACAACACCCACTCATCTTTTATGTCTTAAATAAAAAAGAATAGCCAATAAGCTGTAGATTATTATCAAAGTTACCAAACACATGCATTGTTCATGGGAAAGACTGGTGTGCATGTAGTCTATCATGTCTGGGGTGAATCCTTCAGTGTAGACCCATGAAGATCCAGGGTAGAATAAGTCTTCAGCAACCCATGCTTGCCGTAAAAGGCGACTATGCTTGTCGTAAGAGGCGACTAACGGGATCAGGTGGTCAGACTCACTGACTTGGTTGATGCATGTCATTGTGTCCCAATTGCATGGATCGATGCTCGTGATGTCAATCACTGGATTGTCTGGTCCAGACTCGATTATTTACAGACCGCCGTCAAATAGCTGGAATATTGCTGAGTGTGGCGTTAAACAACAAACCAACCAACCAACCTTGAATGTAACTGCAGACGTTCCTACCTTTGGGAATGATTCGGTCAGCTTCAATAAGCCGGAGTGAAGCAATATCATTAACCACATACTGCCAACGTAGAGATTCAAATGACTTGATATATTTCCTGCCGTCACTGCTCTCCAGGTAACACTCATCTCCTGAAGACAAGGAAGTTACACAATGACATTATTAGAAAAAAACAGTCAAATCCTCAGTTGTTTGTGTTCAGAGTACTCACTAGGTCCCTCCATCACCTGTGAATGTAAACTGTAGCTATGTGGTGTGACTGTGAAAGGAGGAATGAATGGCCAAGTCATCTAAGGTGCAGTTGGCTGGGTAGATTTGCATCCCTTAGACACGCCAGAAACCAATGATCATTGGTTTGAGTGAGTGAGTGAGTTTGATTTTATGCTGCTTTTAGCAATATTCCAGCAATATCACGGTGGGGGACACCAGAAATGGGCTTCACACATTGTACCCACGTCGGGAATCGAACCCGGTTTACACAGGACCATAATCAAGGCATCTTCCAGAGGCAAGGGTGTTAAATGACTATAAAAGTCCAGATTCCACCTTTGCTGAACAAGGCTGAAATTCTGGAGCTACATTTGGGCTGGACTACCGAGTCTATGATAGTCCAATCAAAATTGTGTAACGAACTAGACAGCCAGTTCATGAACAACATGGATTGCAACGTGCAGATTTCTGTCAACTGAAGGATTTGCAAATCATGTGTGCCAACTGGGCGTCGATAGATATTTTACAAATATTTTCATGTTTTTAATCAAGGTGCTCAAGTGATTTGACACACTTCACGAGGTAAGACCCGTTTTATTACAAGATAGATCTTGATAATTGACCAGATAGTCTTGACTGGGTGAGGCCATTTTGTTTGAAGCAATTGCAAGTGATGGAATCCGATCGGTCAATAGGAAGGACATAGAAGGGACATAACTCAAAATAGTCACTGGTGGTGCTATGATCAAGCCTGGAAATTCCAGCCATGCTCGGCAAGGGTGGAAACTGTACTTTTATAGTCAGTGAACTCCCTTGCCTCGAGAAGATGTAATCTGGGATGTGAAACGGATGTGTGCGGCCAAAGAGCACAACTCTTACATCATTGAGCATGTGAGTAATCTTTGAACTTAAAGTTCTTCAAAGGAAACCATACATCAGTCCCAGCTGATCATTTACTTCAATATGAAACATTACTGTTGTTACTAGGATTTTGTTTAATTAATCCGTGCTCTGAATGTCTACTTTAAACAGCTACTGCACCTGTCAGTTGCTTGAAAAAGGCATCAACACAGGACATCAGTTGACAACGACGCCCAGACCAGGTAAGATTATTTCTCAGGAATATCCACTGTTTCAGGTAGAACAAGAAAATCAATCTCATTAACATCAGATCATTCACTCCAAAACAATACTAGGGAGATGCATCTGGTGAACAGTCAGCCTCAAGGCTTCAATATACTCAGTACTAGCGATCAAAGCATTCAGGACAGAATATAGAACTTCTGTTTATAAAAACAAACAAACAAACAAACAAACAAACAAACAGACACTTCCCAATCCAAAACTGTAAATTTTACAATAAATTGTATACTGACATACTTATGCTATCTTACACTATGCATTTCTCATTTCTAAACAAAGGTTATCAGCTTCTAAAAACTAATTCACATCTAGCATCACCATGGTCAACAATCTGGGTCATGCATGCTATCCATGCCGGTCTACCTACATGCGCTGTAGACATGATTTCCCCAGCTAACTCATTCTCTCTCTAGGCTAGAGGAATTGTGATGTGGGGATGGATGGAACATAAATTATTTTTTTAGTGTTCCCACTTTGCCTTATGACACCAGACAGTGTTACTTAATATTATTCTGTATCGCTTTTTAGCTCCAGCTTCTTCGTGTTTATCCTACAGTTGTTGCCTTTATTGGCTGGGGATTTACGCCACACCTTCCAACTGTGGTATAAATTCAAAGTGTGAGATAGGATAAGTTTAAGAAATTGTATATTTTACAATAAATTGCATTGTTGTGGCCCTGATATGCGGCAGACGTACAGATTGAGGGTTTGGGGTGATGAGTGGAGCAGCTGGGAGCGACGTTGAAGAAGGAGGTCGACTCTTAGAGGTAGACTATGAAATCTTCTGTCTGTGAGTTGGATGAGTGTGGTGAACCAACTCTGTGATGGCCAAGAGGGCATGACCAAAAGTAGTGATTGTTTGTCGGGTCAGGATAGGGAGTCGGCTATGACATCGGCCTGAACTTGAATGTTGAGTGAGTTGATTAGTTGAAAAAGGTCGAGCGCCAGAGACTTGATTGAGCCCATCTTGTTTTTGTACCAGACATTGGAAAGGTTGTCTGACTGGATCATCAGACTGGAGGGACGAAGAAGTGTTGCCAAATGTGACATTGCCAATATCAGTGGCTTTCCAAAAGATCACTGCTCTACCACTTGCAGTTCCTGACAATGAGCTCCCCAACCCATATTTGAGGCATCGACAAAGAGATGTAGAGTCAGGATAAATGGCAGCAAGGAGACTCCTTTGCAGACTTTCGACGGTACCAGCCACGATTGGAGATGTGGTCATAGGTGATGCTGCAGGGAAATTAGAAACTGCCAACAGTCGTTCTGGAGCTAGGGCTTTAGAAGACACTGAATTGGTCGCAGGTGGATTTGTCAATAGGGGACAACAAAAGATTAGTATCTTTGGTTGAAGTTCTCTTGGAAAGCTGGAGTTTACCTGCAATCCAAATCAATACAGTAGCTGGATCCGCAGTCAAAGCTGCCTGAGGAAGAAGCAGGGGAGGCATGAAGATCAATGAAGTCCCCCTCTGGCAACAGGTCCACTGGGGAAGTATGTTGTTGGCTGAAGAGTAGCCGGAATAGAAGTTACTGTATCTTTAGGAGGACCCGCCTGAGGGAAGCACACTGACGTCACAGCTTGTAAGAGACTGAATCTGTTGCAGCGGGATGGAGGTTCATTAGGATTCCATGAGATAGGAAGTATCTGTGTTGAAGTCTGAAGTGTCACCGGAGGATCTGGTACAGTCACGGTTGAATAGGCAGACGTCGAACCAGAGGCGGTGATGGGGAACCCGAGCGACACCTTGAAGGAAGAGTGACAAGCGTGGCCTTTCGGAAAGGGCATCTGCTGGTAGTAGCTGAGTTAGGAGGGTTGTCTCTGTGCCGGGTTTGCGCGGCATAATAAGAGGCAGGGTTGGAAGGAAATTCTCGCCATTGATGATGATAAGTCATGAGAACGAAAATGAACAATTAGGTGAGATTCAAGATGACTGGAATAAGAGGAATGAGTTAACTGTGACGAGTGCAATAGAGTCAGTATAAAGTTCATCTTCACAACCGATACACGATGACTGATCCCCTGATTGTCGATCCTTGGAAGAGTAGCGCTCAGTGGAGGATCGCCGATCTGGAGAGAAGCGTCAATCTGCGGAGGTTCATTGATCCATGATCGAGACTTACACCACTCCTTTGAGATTAGGCAATCCTGTGAGGCACATTGAGCCTTGAAAATTTGTCAAACGTTGGAAGTTTGCTGCTTCACAGAGTGTGCACCAATCTTGAGATGTTCGCCAAACCTTGGAGGTATGGTGAGTCTGAGCAGATCACAGACCCCATGATCAGCGAGCCCTAGATTGCCGATCACGATCTTGCCTACAAGTTAGGCATGCTGGCCGACGCGTGGCCTGTCCGTCCATGTTGAAAATGAGAACCAAGAAGAAGAAAATCTCAAAATATTGAAAGATGGAAAACTGGAAAAAAGAGAAAAAAACAACCCAATAAATTCTCTTGCAAGATACTCGTCACCATACCGTGGCGATTAGAAAGAGAATGAGTTGGCTGGGGAAATCATGTGTTCAGTGCCTGTAGGTCGAATGGCATGAAAAGCATGCATGACCCAGATTGTTGGAAGGTGACCATGGTGTGTTCAGGTGAAATGTTTTTTAGAAGATGATAACCTTTGTTTAGGCATGTTTCCACTAAGGATTGAAAGAAGAGGAAAAATGCATAGTGTGAGATAGGATGAGTTTAAAAATTCATAAAGCCCATGAAATCATGTATTTATACAGCCAGTCGTTTCTGAGCCCCATGGCAACTTCACCCAAAAGGGTATACTGTCGAAGACATATTTGTGTTGTGTGGGGAGCTTTCGTTTGTCAAGATCAACTTTCCAAAAAACATAGTTAAGTTATGGAGTTGTAGCCAAAGTTTTAGCCGATTCCTTTTTGAAAGGTGAGATTTGATAGACTGAAGAACCTATGCACACTTCATTTAGATTTGGTGTCTAAAGTTAAAACGAGTTCACCTGACCTGACCTGACCTCTTGTGGAAAGTTTGTCAGACCTTCACCCACAGAGGTATCATAACTGAGCAAAAGTTCTGATGATAATATAACATATATTTAGTTCAGGTCTCAGATATTGTCAATTGTCACAGAATATTGCAGTACAGCCATATTGAAATTCATATTGGAACCTTATGGACACACCCAGGTCTTATTTGGTAATAACATATACCTGTATGCACATTCTCCACATTCTTTAATCAAGCAATATGTTCCAAAATAAAATATCTGAAAAGTAATCCTTCAGGGAGGTGTCTAACCATTGGCTGAATGACAAAATGCAAATGATAACTGTACTGTAATTGGAACATAAAATATCTCTATTCATGTCAACTGTTATAACCCATGTTAAGGCTTTTAGTGATGACTTGTATTTCACTAATTATAGCATCAAGAAAGATATTGAAAGCAATGTTAAAATACCTCTGAATTTAAGAAATCATGACCTCTTAAAAAATCTCAATTTTCAGAGAATAATTATTTCTTTCCCAATTTGCCATGCAAGGGCACGTAATCTGACATCTAGATAAATCCCTGAAGTTTTTTCGAAGTTCATGCTCAGCCTATATAAACACATTAGATAGCCAGGGGTATACAAATTAGTATTGAATTTGAAGGTTTCTACAGGGGGTCGCATTATAGGAGTGGGTCGTGTCATAGAAATGGTATATGGTACTGATGCTGACCACAAATGCGTGACAGGCAGGTGATGAAGAAATAGAAGACTCTTATTAATGGCAAAATCATGCAACTGAAACCAGAGTATTAAGGCGCCACTTGGGTCAAGTTACCTTCTTGAGGAGCGTGTAGAGATCCATCTCCACCTGCAGCACCCACAGCTCCCCAGAACTCACCAGCGTCGGCATCAGATCCTCACTGGAACAGTCAGCCATCATGGAGCCCCCTCAGAAGGCAGTACATCTCTACATAAGTCATGCATTCAATTGCAAGTCTAAGGGCATTCATAAGTTTCATGTCCATTAAAAAGTAAATTCCATAAGTTGCGAGACATACCCCATAAACTGAATTGTGAAACTTCTGACATCCTAAAAGAGATTTTAATTAAGTTAGTTTTAGCACCATTTCATAAATGTTACCAAAATATAGCACAACAGATGCTGTTTGTCGAGGAAAATCAAAACAGGTTTTTAGAACTGGCACAATCTTTCTTGTATTTATCTTGTTTCAACCACAATTTGCTGTTAATTATAATATAATGATTAGAGCTGTTTATCAGCATATTCAGTTATGAACTACACCTAACTGGTGTACCTTGTGAGATGATGAGAGACCATGTATACATAAATTGAAATTGCATCAATACATCTTATAATTGAGCATGTAATCTTGCATTATCTCAGTCTTGTCAGATAAACCGGTGGTTGACGTCACGAGCACCATCCCACAACTTCAAGGTATGATGACACACAATCAGCCAGTTCACTGAGGCAGACCACCAGCTCTTGTGCTGGGGCATTATTCTAACCCTGGATCTCCACAAGCCACCTGACAATCTGCATTTGTTTGTTTTGCAAGATAAAATACAAAACATTCTGACACCTGGTGAGTGCCAGTTAATTCTAACTCCGGTTCCCACTGGGTCATATCTGGAACACTTGACTCAAATCAATCAGTATGTACTTGAGATATCATGAGTTAACATGGGTGAGTGAGTCAGTATGGTTTTACACCGCTTTTAGCAATATTCCAGCAATATCATGGCTGGAGACACCAGAAATGGGCTTCTCACATTGTATCACTGAGGAGAATCAAACCCGGGTCTTCAGAGTGACGAGCGGACGCTTTAACCACAAGGCTACCCGACCGCCCCAGAGTTCACATGAGAAAAGAACATTGGAAATCTAGATAACATACCATTGTATAACCACTCCTAGTTGAATGTCAGTGAAGCTACCAACACTAAGAACCACTTATTGTATAGTACCTGATATCCTTGAGTATAGCCAGGTTCCTGGGCATCACTATATAGCCAGGTTACTGGGTGTCATTGTACCTGATATCCTTGAGCATAGCATGGTTACTGGGTGTCATTGTACCTGATATCCTTGAGCATAGCAAGGTTACAGGATGTCATTGCATAGCAAGGTTACATGGCGTCATTGTATAGCCAGGTTACTTGGTGTCATTTAACCTGATATCCTTGAGTATAGCTATGTTACTGGGCATCATTGTATAGCCAGGTTACTGTATAGCCAGGTTTCTGGGTGGCATTCTACTTGATATCCTTGAGTATAGCCAGGTTACTGTATAGCATGGTTACTGGGCATCATTGTACAGCCAGGTTACTGTATAGCTATGTTACTGGGCATCATTGTATAACCAGGTTACTGTATAGCATGGTTACAGGGCATCATTGTATAGCCAGGTTATTGGGTGGCATTCTACCTGATATCCTTGAGAATAGCTAGGTCAGTGGGCATCATTGTAAAGCCAGGTTTCTTGGTGGCTTTCTACTTGATATCCTTGAGTATAGCCAGGTTACTGGGCATCATTGCATAGCCAGGTTACTGGGCATCATTGTATAGCCAGGTTACTGTATAGCCAGGTTATTGAGCGTCATTGTATAGCCAGGTTAAAGGGTGCCATTGCACCTGATATCCTAGAGTATAGACAGGTTACTGGGTGGCACTATACCTGATATCCTTGAGTATAGCCAGGTTACTGGGTGCCATGACATTGTGCAGCATCCAGCCCTGACAGAAGGCAGCAACGTCGGGGAGGGAGTACATCTGACTGGCAGCCTGGTACGTCACTGCTGTGCTGGAACTGATGTACAACACATGGGTAATATATGCATGGCAAATAATGTCTGAAAGGGAGGGAATGAATGCTGCGTTATGCCACAGATATATTCCAGTGCTGTGTACAGGGTCAGGGTCTGGTGACATAGTAGTAGAGATGAAATGAACAATGTAGCCAACTTCCAGCCATCTTCCTGAGGCAAGAGAGTATTTAAGTTTAGTTTCCACCCTTGCCAAACTAGGATGGTATTATGGAGTTACATTTTGGCTGGACTAACGAGTCTATGCATAGTCCAATCAAAATCACGCAACCAAATCGAAATCCGGTTCGTAAACTGTCGTGCAGATTGCTGGTTGTTTCCCTTTGTCATGAAAAACGTAGCTGGTTGCTTCCCTTTATCATAAAAAAACACAGCCAGCCCTCCTGTTACATTAATTGATATATTCTAACACTGTCTAGACCACAGTCGAAAATACCTTTGTCTCCATGGCAAGAACTGAGGGTTGACCAGTACAGTAGACAGAGAACTGTAGACAGCAGCTTGTTAACAGGTTCACAGGGTACCTGTGACTGAACTCACCTGATAGTTTCTTTCATGAACTCTGTGCAGTGTTTGATCAGACCATCCTGAAATAGACATTTGTTCTTCCTCAGCCTCAGGAAAATATGTATCTACATACCTCCATTATGTCATCACAGCCACTAGTCTGAAGTCTGCATTGCATAAAAACTTTTCAGTGAAGCAAACTCACTTTATAACTAAGACTGCATGGTATTACAAGTATACTATGAAACTCTTTACAAAAGATACCTGATATTTTTCTGCCCTCTGGTATGTTGGGTAAGTTTCTTTATTATTATCTGTATAGTTCAACCTAAAATCTACACAGAAATTCATTCACAAATGATGTTTCCCTCCGAAATTGATTGACCATACTGACTTTGACATCGTCATATTTACTTTAGTACAGTCAAGTCTCGTTAATCCAACAATCGGCTTTATCTGACACTACTGATGGGAACAGATCAAATCAGTGCTATTGAGACCCGTTAATCTGACAGTTTCGCACTCCGACTCCGACAATTTTAATTTGCAACGAATTACCGAAATCACTCATTAATCAGTGTCGTTAATCGGACACAGTGATCAGCGTACTCCGTGGTCATATGCCCATGAGTACACAGCCCGTGTTTTGATGCGAGACGAGTCAGTTGGTTGCTGCATATTACAATGGATGCAGAGATATACTTGCTTATGACCGACTAATGAAATGACTAAGAGGAAGTCAACGTAGCCATTTAGAAAGCAGCTTTCTTAAGCTTTGCGGTACCAGTTTCAAACTAAGTCATACAGTCCGTAACAGTTGTTTTGTGTTGAGCTTTAGAGGTTGCATGATTAGAAAACATTTTCTGCTAACAATGTAAAATAACAATATGAATATTTCGAGTCTGGACCAGACAATCCAGTGATTAATATCATGAGCATCGATCCACGCAATTGGGACCGATGACATGCATCAACCAAGTCAGCGAGCATGACCACCCGATCCCGTTATTCGCCTTTACAACAACACTGCTTTGAGTACAAAAGTGCGGTGTATGGAACTCATTCCCCGAGTTCCCCGTTAGTCGCCTTTTATGACAAGCATAGTTGCCTTTACGGCAAGTATGGGTTGCTGAAGACCTATTCTACCCCGGATCTTCACGGGTCAAATAAATATTACTAGTAGTTTCATTTCACCGTCTATCACTATTTCAGTATTTCTAAACATGTAACTGTGGGACCAACCATCTGCAGGAGAGTAGCAGCTGCCAATACTCCGATGACATCGACTGGCTTCAGGACCACATCGTCTTTATACAGACAGCCCAGGGCCGTCTTCAGAGCTGAAAACAGGATGATACCATACATAACTCTTACGATTGTAAACCGCCTGTGGGGTAGTGGTTAAAGTGTCCGCCAATAAAGTAGAATGTCTGTGGTTTCATCCCTGGCCACGTCATACCGAAAGTCATTACAAGATTGTACTTGTTTTTACCCTGCACTCTGCATTAAAGGGATAAAACAAGGACTGGTCATCTCATAGTCCAGAGTGTGTTGTAACAATACATAATGGTGCTTATGATACATATATTATGCATATCTCAGGGGCAATCATGGTAATATCATGATATATCTAGAAAGTAAGGTTGCGATATGAAACACAATATTATATATACACGAAGAAAAATTTCATCTGTAATGCTAAGTTGCCAACAGTAAACGACAGTGCCCAAACCAAAATATATGTTGAAATTTTCAATTAATTAAACCAACAATCCTGGTAAAAAAATATCAAGCACCGTAGCCAGATTTTGTACTAGAATTAAAGTTACCTGCCCTGGTTTTATATATTAACATGGCTGGCTTGATCATTCAAGAAGTTTATGGGTGGAACAGTTTCTAGAAGGCAGCCGGTCCATATATAAGAGTGGCAATGGGGGAAATTCGAGGCCTATTTTGACTTGACTTGTTTCTGATTTACTATCTGTAAACCCTGAATTCCTGCCAGCTTTCAACACTGTTCTGGATTCAGGAAGAGACATGCCTCTTTCGAATCTTTCAATAGTGACAATATTCTGAGAGCAAGGATTATCCTCAAAATTGTTTCTAAAAGAGAAAATCTCCAGTGGTCCGTAAGCAACAAGATTTTTTTGCATGTGATGAGATTTTGCTTATTATCAGAGATACTTTTATTTTCAAAGAGTGGAATCTGTATTTGATTTTCGGTATTTGTGGCTCGAATTATGTAGCAACTTATGTTACTGGATTACTATCCTCACATATCCTATTTCCGAACATGAATTATTCCACTGCAAATATTTCAAATATGTAAATATTATTGGATTATGCGCATTGTCAACTGAAATCAAATGTCAATTACATTATTATCTATGTATTTCTGTCCATTTTCAACTTTAGCAGGAATTATGCGAGAGTACAATTACCGGTATAGATCGTTTAGCAGGCGTGTTTACCTCGGTCCGAAAGCAATGAGATTTTTGGGCGTGTGAAGAGATTTTGCTAAATATCAGAGATATTTCGTCTTCAAAAAGTGGAAACTGTATTTGATATTCAGTATTTGTGATTCAAATTATGTTGCAATTAATGTCACTAGATTATATAGATATATCCTCACATATCCTATTTTCGAACATGAATTATTCAACTGCGAATATTTAAAAATATGAGTATATTACTGGATACTGCGTATTGTCAACTGAAATCAAATACCAATTACATAATTATTATTAATGTATTTCTGTTCATTGTCAACTTTCAGAGGAATTATGTGCGAGTACAAATATAGATTGTTTAGCAGATGTGTTAACCATGATCAGCTGTTCATTTCGTGGGCATGCAGGAGATAACAATCTGCAGTTATCCAATTTCTAGTCTTCGACAATGTGTGTTTAGATCGTAATTTAATATATTCAAAGTGATGACACAAAACAGTGACTGTTGTAAATGGTGTTAGAGTTAGTTGGCAAAAAATATATCATTTAAATTAAAGAATGAGATGAAACATGGTGCTTTCGTCAATTTCGCTGTCCATTTCCGTCTTATGTTGTGTAACGTATCGAAAACTCTTCCACCAGTGCTGAATTATCTAAAGGCTTAGCAAAATCATCTAAAATACGATCATTTGTAGTCTGAAATTTATACATTATGGAGAAAGAGATGTAGGTTTATCTATTTAGTATTTGTTTTGTTGCCATTCCAAAATTGAAATTTGTCTGTATTTTGAACTTTCCACCAGTGATTGTTTTTTGATGCAGTTGAAACTTTTGAAAGTGTAACAGAACGCGATGTACACGATTCTCAATGACCCTGAATGAATGTTGATGCGATATCTAAGATCTAAATCATCTCGTAAACACTCAGTCACTGAGTCACTGACTTTATTTCACAACTTAGTTCCATGTGAACCGATTTCTAGGCTAACCTATGCATTTCAATTTGGAAACCATCTCGTAAGCACTCAGGACATAGTATTCATTTTATGCCACATATACAGTGATATATCATGTACATAACATGTCCTCCTTATGCATGCATTAATACATGTCCTCAAGATGTATGAAACAGTATACATCTACCTTTTTCATCAACATTGTTGTCTGGTATGTCCAGCTGTATGACATCCTGGCTGGATTCCCTCCATGAACCACTCAGCATGCCACAGAAGTAACCGGACTGAAATACACAAACATATGAGAGTACCATCTTAAAAATGTCTTTTAGTATGGTGCGGCCGGGGATCGAACCCCCTACATTCCACTCTCCAGGCGGACGCTCCACCACTTGAACATGGAGGCGGTCTCCAATTTCTTGACAATTAAATTTTTTTTACACAAACTACGGTTATAACAAAGTCAAAGGGACCACTAATTTTTGTTTGTTATAACCATAGTTTGTTCTAAGAATCTTTACTGTCATGTATCAAGTCATGTTTCCTCACACGAGTCTCTGCATTTTATAGACAGAATATATCCACTTCAAAGGCTATAGCCTAATCATTGTTTGAAAATTAATTGTGGGTGCATATTGAGGACAAGTGCCCGTTCTTAATCCAGTTAATCACTTGTGTTCAATTGTTTATTGCTGCTTGAAGCAGCAATGTGTGGCCGGGGATGTTTTGATTGACTGGTTGGAGAAATGTGAGCACCTCAGAGATTAACTGTTCAATATTAACATAAACATTGTCGTTGACTGAGTATACACTGGAGCACAAAGTGAGTTTGCTATATCTGTTATTTTGTTATAAACGTGTTGCTATATCCATCAATTATATACGAGAAAATATACAGCAAATAGCAGAGACCAAAAAAAACCAGTTTATTGGGCTTAAAAAATATAAGAATTGGTTCTCAGGCAATGACTTTTGAAAATATAGTGGGGGCGGGCAGGGTTTTTGTTTTTCTTATGCTTGTTCATACTAGACTGTAACCAAGTAACAGTTGTGTACCATCAACCTGGGAAAGGGCAGCAAAGCAGTGCACATGTAAAGGAAAGTAACTTCATGCTATATTGGATTGCATTGTTTTCTTAACAAAAAATTTAAAACGGAAATGAAAACCAAATGTGCAGCAGAGTTTATGATGATGCAGGCGGTGTGTGAGAACTAAGACTATTATTTTTTTTAGCATTTATCTGTCAGTTCATTGTAAGTGTGTTTGTTATAAACAGTTTACTGTATTTATTATTCTGAATATATAATCAGGTCCGGACCCAACACAAGATTTCAAGACGTGAACAAATTTCAATGATGCTCTCAGATTACAGGGTGTTTGGTGTTTTATTGGACATGCACAAAAAGAATGGTAACTCTTCCTGAAGGGACGTAATCCTTTATTAGCATTTTACCATGAGATTTCAGTTAAGCCTTGAAATTACAAGGTACTTCATTATGACACTCAGCACATGTTCAGATCCCAATACACATTGTAATCTTAAAGCAAGGGAGGTAACCCATGTTGTCTTTTCAATATGGCACACATTTTTTCTGTTAAAAGCAACAAACTTAAAACTGTTCTTTTAAAAAAGTTTGATCTCATGTTATTTCCTGCATTAATATCTTCACAGCAACCTGTAACCAGATTCACAAGCGAGGTAATGATTTGATTGGTTTATCTGAATCTTCTGATGTTATATCGCAATGAATTGTAAACTAAATTTGCTGGAAACCAAACTTTGCGATATTTTGTAGATATAAAACTTGTTACATGATGATTATGTTTCAAGCCTATGGCAAATGATAATGATGCAAGAGAGTAGTGGTCGACATGACAAATGCCCAGTATGGCTGTAATATCACTGGGGCATGACACTTACTTAAGCCTTGAGACCCGTGAAGATCTGGGGGTAGAATAGGTTTTCAGCAACCCATGCTTGCTGTAAAAGGAGACTATGCTTGTTGTAAGAGGCCACTAACGGGATCGGGTGGTCAGGCTCGCTGACTTGGTTGAAGCATGTCATCGGTCCCAATTGTGTGGAATGATGCTCATGATATCAATCACTGGATTGTCTGGTCGAGACTTGAATATTGCTCAGTGCGGCATAAAACAACAAACCAACCAACCAACTTATGCCTTCAAATCGAGTGTTGTGTCCTGACCTGATAATAGTGAGAACTATAGATTACTTCAAGAAAGACAGGTTATGGAACAAACAAGAAAATACAACGTATGCAGACAATACCTGCTTGAGGTAGTGTTTGTGTAGATGCCAGTCTCTACCAAGTGCTCGGATGGTTACATCACTGTTTTCACCCTTCATAAACAGAGTCTCATAGATATACTTGGAAGTGGACTTGATATGCTTCCTGGAACAAGAAAGTACACAAGAGTTTCAGGAATATCAACCACATAGTTCCTTGCTGGATTTTAACTTTTCTAGTTTATGCAGTTATTTAGTTGTTTTGAAGCCGCTATAGAACTTGTTCCCCGCTATTTTCATTCAAGGGTCCAAGGGCTAAGGATAGAGTTGGGGGTAACTAACCATCCCTACCCACTTAGACAAACAGTAACATCTAGTTTCTGAAATGAAAATATTTTACATTTTAAATTATTGTTATGAAATAGTGAGTGAGTGAGTATGGTTTTACGCCGCTTTTAGCAATATTCTAGCAATATCACGGCGGGGGACACCAGAAATGGGCTTCACACATTGTACCCATGTCGGGAATCAATCCCGGGTCTTCGGCGTGACGAGCGAACGCTTTAACCACTAGGCTACCCGACCGCTCTAGTTATGAAATATTATAAAAAGGAACCCAGACTCTCTTCACTTTCAGATACTGCATTCATCTAGACTTAACAAATATTATAGATTTGCATGGACTGTATTTGACATATTAGTTTCAGGGTCTGTATGATAGACTACCTACCTAGCTACAGACTTTTAAAAAAATATGCTGTCTGAGTATACATAATTTTTCTGTGTTTTTTTTATGATATTATTGGGTGGCGAACAGATTCTATGTGCGCACGCTTGTTTTGAACAATCGCCAAGTTGATCACGCACTTCACTGACAAGCTCAAATAGTTCTGTCCCCTTGTCAGGTTTCTAATTGTTGTGTAAACCGATGTTTCGATATGTCTCACAACACACAGGCTCTTGGGAACATTCAGACATGTTCGGGACCACCAAAGTGTCATGACAATCAATGATGGACATGCATTCACCTTTTTGGCGTGTGTATGTCGACTGTTCTGGATTTGCGAGCAGGTGAAGAATCGGATTCTGATAAAGAATCTCCATCATCATTGGAGGAGTCGTCGGAAGATTTTTCGAAAGTGTCGTCTGCCCGCTTTCTCTTTCGTGTCCTGTTACCAGGGATTAACCTTGTTAGTGAATTACCCATAATCAAAATATGCTGCCATTAACAAATGCTTGCGAGAAACACAACTTCACATCCTATGTCAAGAATTCAGCTGACTGTTCACAGATGTTTATAACGTGACAAGTAATCGAAACTAGCCGCCCCTTTCCAACTGAGCTCACAGCACTGCGAAGGCAAACCCCCTTACTTAACGAGCGAGCTCTGAGAACAGTGTAAGGAGATGGCTGCGCAGTGACACCATGTGGTCTACAACAGCTTCAAGATAACTCTTGTTCAATACTGATTCAATGATTTTATGCCTCTTCAATTTGTGTTGCGATGAGAGATGATAAAACATTGAACATATGACTATGTATATCTGTACTTCTGATTTACGTGTTACAAATGTCTCCCTACGCTGACGAGTGTAAAGATATCCCAACAATATTAAGTTATTTAAATTAACAGACCCAATGACAACATTGTATACCCTATTTATAATGAAAATATGTCTTTTGTCCACATTTACGCAATCAGGACATAAAGTTTCATATCTTAATTTTTTTTTCAAATATGTAGCTTTTGTTTCAAGCTGATCTGTACTTAGAGCAAGAATGGTGAGGTGAGGTGAGGTGAGGTGAGGTGAGGTGAGGTGAGGTGAGGTGAAATGGGGTTTAACATCGCGTCCAAGATTATTGCACTTAGATAGCGACGTGTATGCATGTGTGTGTGTGTGTGTGTGCGGCTGCTTGTACTAGTCCGGACTGATGCTGATTTATAGTGCTAGCTCACTGAGATACCATGCCGCAGTTTAACATGAACACCCTACTCAGACACAGTATACTGACTCCGAGCCAAGCAGTCCTTGTTTTAGCCCCTTAATGCCGAGCACCAGACAGGGTAACAAGAAGTACCATCTTTTAAAGTCTGGTATGACGCGGCCGGGGATTTAACCCCGGACCTTCCGCTCTCCGGGCAGAAGCTCTACCACTAGCCCACAGAGGCGGTCGGAGCAAGAATGGGGTGCACTGAACTGTGTCCAGGTTGGGAGCTGAACCAGTCTTCAATGTGACAAGGAGCACTTTTACCATCACACAGACATGTTTGCACCGTTATGTCTATGCCATTCAATCGTGCAGGACTCCTTTTCTGCTCTCTAAAAAAACTAAGACCAAACTCACATCTTCAGAGTATATAACACATTTATTTGCATTATTCAAATGTGAAAGACAATGTTGACCAACTGCTACTGAAACGCTTGGTCAGAAATGAACATTAACAAATATAGACATGTTCATAAAGTTTGTTTTGTATTCTAGTGAACCCAATAAAATTCACACTAACAAAATAAATACAAATATGATCTAAAGATCCCTGAATACTTTGGGAATAGTGAATATCCTGATTTTAGAGAATTACAAATTATGATGACCAGCAAAGGTGAATCTACTACAGTGAAATCTTGTTAACTCCAGGTACGAGAGAAGGGCAACTACTTCTCAAGCCGTTACAGGCCTCTTATTCTTTGGTATTGAGTTTACAAAATGTTTGGCCCAAACTTCAATGTAGGTGGTCGAATCAATCTCATTAAAATCATATCTTAGTTCTCGCTACTTCTTAACAAAGTTCTGAGGACTTCATATGGGTCACATCAGAACAACCTTTCAGACCGTTGCTTACCAGATTGAGAAAGAGACAGTCCCGAGTGTTTTCTGCATGAAAACCCTGCAACCTTAAAAAGATTAACACGGGGTATTCCAAACGACAGTTACAGGCTGTACGACTGATTCCGTCAAAAACATTGCCATCTCTCACTTCAATGGGATACATATTTGAAATGGAAGAGACTTTCCATATCCTGTAGGAAATACTACCATACAAAACTGGCCATCAATGCATTATTCAAATGTGAAAGACAATGCTGACCAACTGCTTCTGAAACGCTTGGTCAGAAATGAATATCAACAAATATGGACTTTTATTCATTTTTCAAATTTTGAATCGATAACTTTGTCAAAATATTTTCAAGAAAAGTCAGGAATGGAATTTGCCAGTTTGATACCACTGTCGTAATGCTCGAGAAAGCTGCTTTCTGATTGGCTAAGGTCGACTTTTTGTTAGTCAGTTCATTGGTCTGTCAAAGTTTGCGAAAAAGGTTGTTCTCACTTGACCTGTATGATTATGACGAGTAAGTCTGGTATTTAACTTTTATCTAGCTACAAGAAAACAGCTTGATATCAATATGTCACTGTGCTACTTATTTCGTGCTGACACATTTCCCTCAATATCCAGTGTGCAATAACATTCCACTGATGGCGTTTTAGTGCCGTGATATCAGGGACCAAGGTCACAAGTTGCATCATAGTTCACATCAAGCATCCATTCACCTTTGGCAGAAACAAGTAGGACATCTTGTAAAATGGGAATGAATTCTCTTTTGGTTAATATACAATGCTGGTTCTATGACAATTTGACAAATGACACTTGACTTCACAACTTTATATTGGCAAGAGAGTGACCTACAATGTGTTGCTAGAACACATGCACGACTCTTTGGGTTTGATCAGTGATTTCAAAATCGCATCAAGAGACATCCTAAAGTTATCCATCACCTTACTGAATCTGGAGTTACTGAGATATCACTGATGTGGCTACACAGTTGACTTGTCATTCCTATAAAGATTTACTTGAATGTCTACAATAGGGAAAACTGGCAAAAACTAAAAAACTTATCACAACAGAATCAGTTAATAAACCTAAACTCTTCTCCGAAATCTTAGTTCCTCAAATCCTTAAACGTACTTCCTCATATGTAAGTCAATAAAAAATATATGCATATGAACAGAAATATTTCAAAAATTCTTTTGAATATGATGCATATACATGAAGCAGCAATTACATTCACAATACAGCACACTTGCAGATACAGATCTGGTGGATTATTGCAACCATATACTGTCTACTCCATCCATTTTCACTCAAATCTCATGAATATTAAATCTTTTACTCAGATTTGATACCTCTATCTGTGAAGATCTGACAAATTTGTAATAATTGGTGTGGAGGCGTCTCAATTCAGAGGGCGATGTGGTAGCCTTGTGGTTAAAGCATTCGCTAGTCAAGCCGAACACCCGGGTGTGATTCCCCACATGGGTACAATGAGTGAAGCCCATTTCTGGTGTTCCCCGCCGTGATATTGCTAGAATATTGCTAAACGCGGCATAAACCAATAATCACTCATTCAGTCTAAATTCAGAGCAGAAATCTGACTCCTATATCACCAAAACTAATGTATATGGGCAGTTCGGAATGAGGATAACAATGACTGCTATGCTATGTTGTGAATATGTTTCATTCATTCATCCAATATAAAATGAATTTCTTGTAGTTGTGGTTCCATTTTCCAAAATGTCTAAGGCTATCAGTTTGATAATTGAGCCCACTCATAAAAAAAAATCAAAGGCTGTCCAAATTTAATCAAGGTTCACTTACCTTGATTAAGAGAAGTATCTGATCAAAGTAAAAGATCTGATTTTAATGAGATTGATTCTCACACTTCTGTCAATATACTGGCATTCATGACAAACATGACTGGAACAAGAATCTTAACCCATACAGTGATGTAATTGATGTATTATGGATGAATAATTTACTTATTGTATTTTCCCTTTGCATTGAGAAAGGACATGCGACATTCATTAATATTAAATTAAAATGCACTTGTGACTAGAGGTACAGCTGATAAATAACTAATGAATTATACATGAGGGTAAAATAGCAAAAAGAGGTTCACATTAACTCTTTTATAACAGTACTTTTCACTTTTTAAATATTATTTCCTGGAACTCCAATTGCAACCTTTTGTTGCTTCAAGAATACAACTATTTGCATTTGTTCTTGCTAAACCCATTTCCAAATTCTTCAAAAAATCAAAATGTGATCAAAATCTTGTGATGTCACATGACTGATAATGTCATGGTTACCGACATTGGAAAACATACAGATACTAAAGCAATTGTTCATTGAATATTAAATTTTCATCATTTTTTCTATAAAATGTGACCCTGGAAGCATGATATTTTTAATTGAATATTTTTGGGACAAACCATACTAGGCATCTACAGTCAAGGCTATAAAAAGAAATAGTCTTGGTTCTCAGGCACCACCCGCATCATCATAAAGTTTGCCGTACGTTGTTATTTTTTTTCATTTAAAAAAAAATGATAAAAATCCTAATACTTAAACACAATGCACAAAATTGAAAATGAAACAAAAATGAAACGTGCAATGAACTTTATGATGATGTGGGCAGTGCCTGAGAACCAGGACTATTATTTTTTTTAGCCCAAAGAATGTGACTCTCACAAAGCATGAATGTAGAGAAGAACATGTGAACATGTGAACAGTGTATTTTATCAATTAAAGAATTGGGAACAAGCAAATGATCATCTTCCCGAGGCACGAGAGTTAACTGACTTTAAAAGTCCAGTTTCCACCCTTGCCGAACTAGACTGGAATTCCTGGGCTCGATCGTAGCGCCACCAGTGGCTATTTACATGGTAAATGGTGTGAGACAGGGGTGTTCGGTCATGTGATGGGTGGGGATGAAAATATAATACTTATTTTATTATGGCCTAAAAGTTCCAAACTAAATATGTATATTGTGACCAATGAATGCCCCACCCACAAAATAATAAATTCATGCCCTAAATGATATGTACCGTCAAAGGGATCATGAGTATCACTTGGCGAGCAAATAGTTGTACATGTACATCGTCATGAGATTCTCTGTCCTTGTGTTGTGACAAAATGAGTGTAATACCATACATCACAGCATGTCTTGCATTGGGGGTGTTGTCCTTGTTAATAGATGTACGTTAAGGATGACCATTTTCAGTCTTGGTAGACATGTCATTTGTGTGTTGAAAATTATATGCCGTCTCCACAGAACCTGAACAAGTAACATAATAAACACCTTTTAACGATATTTTTCAACTGGTAAAATAATAAACATCTTTTAACAATATTTCTCAACTTATAGTATAAGGAACATCTCAACAAGGAAAATAATAAACACTTTTTAACGGTATTTCAGATTGTCAGAGGCACAGGATCAGTCATGCCTGAAAAAAAGGCCTCTTTTTCTGAGCAATTTGGCTCCCCTAAAACTGTTATCTTGCCCCTCAGTCAACTTCTTAT